TGGCTGACAGTAGGTGGTACAAGAGACGTGGTCCATGTGGCAAAGGCGAGACCATTAGACTTACTTTAAGGCTTGAGCCTCGTATTAGTCACCCAGGTGCAAGCGATGGACGAATTACTTCTCGAATAGCACAGATGGGGAGGGGCCAGCGGTCGAGTGAAATACATGTACCAGGGAGATAGCAGACGGATTTGATGGGGCAAGAGGGAGACTTTGAAAGGACCTAGGGAAGGACTACGTAACAATATGACAGACTCTGGTTAACATTCCCATCACAGGGGCAAAGGGGGTGATAACGACAGTGTGGAGTGTGAATGGTTTTCATAAATGCTGCTCGAAGGGGCACACGACAATACATTAGGAATAAGCACGGTAAAAAACTGTCTAAGGGAAGGCATAATAGAAGGCGATAGGAAATGTAAATAGGCCAGGGCTGAAGGCATGATACCATAACTGTTTAGCACACGTTTGATCACTTGTCCATTTGACGAGTTGTAATATGGTGCTACGAATGGCGAAACTCACTAACGATGCCGACTACGATGCCTGCGAGGGACTCATCTGCACGAAGGTCTCCGCACGACCAACGGGACGCAATATATATTTATCACATTCTTTAATCCTTAGGTATGACTTAATGAAGTCGGAAAGGTATTTGTCTAATTTCCTTATTGTATTTATAAATCAAATTGGTGCATGTTATTTGATCTGTTCTCCCACTTTTTGATCCTTTCTTTTTTATTTTTCTTGTCTAGACTACACGATTTATCTATAAAATATTTGTTTTTTTTCAAATTTATCAATTTTGTGTAGGGCGGCGGGGCTAAGTTCCTGCGCTATGATTGCTCCATTGTTAAAACCCGAATGGGCTATGCTCTAATGCATCCTGGCCGAGTGACACATTTGCACGAGGGCCTTATAACCACCAACGGAACGCGGTATATTTTTGTCACTTTTGTCAACCCCTAATCGTCCCCTTCTTCCTGATTCGGAATAAAGCCTCAGGATACGATTTAGGAATAGTATTTTATCGAAGGTACTTGCATAAAATAATTATTTATATTTTTTCGATCTTTAAAATCAACCTGTGATTGCACTGTCATATGTTTTTTTACCTTAAATAAATAACTTCTACAGAAACCACCATCTTTTGCTAGTTTACTTTCCCCTTAAGTATTTTGGTCTATAACGATCTTAGGTGTAATTAGCAAGTAGAAAATAGACTTATGAGGAAAGTGAGACGGAAGGGTATGCAATGCTATAATTTGGGGGGCTGTTTAGGATGCTTCGATTTGAAACCAAGTGCCCAGATTGGATGGCAGAGGTCGAATGAAATGCTCGAACCAGGGCGATAGCAGACAGATTCCACAGGGCAAGATGGAGACTGTGATAAGACCTATGGAAGCAGGACTTCGTAAAAATATGGCAGACTCTGATAAACATTCCCACCACAAGGGTGAAGGGGGTGAGAACGACAGCGTGGAGTGTGAATGGTTTTCATGAATGTCGCTCAAAGGAGCACGCCACACTACATCTAAATAAGCACGGCAAAAATTGTGACAGGGAAGGCATGAGAGGAGGATATATGAAATGTGAATAGCCCAGGACAGAAGGGGAGATACCACAACTATTTAGCACACGTTTGGTCATAGGATCAGCTTCAATCGTCTCTTTGACGAGTTGTTGTGTGGTGCTAAGAATGGCGAGGCTCATTGATGATTCTCAATACGATGCCATCCAAACGTCTGGGAATGTACCACGTCCACGGTCCGAGTTTGGAAATGATCATGCATT